GAGCCTCCTGGGTGAGAGCCAGGTATCCTAGCCACTAGACCATATGGGATATATGAACACGCTATATATCTTTTTTTGCTGCGAGGAACTTTTAATTAAATGTTTAATACCAATTGCATAAAATGTTAAATATACGAAGTTATTCCCATACCGGGAATCGAACCCGAGCCTCCTGGGTGAAAGCCAGGTATCCTAGCCACTAGACCATATGGGATATATGAACACGCTATATATATATATCTTTTTTTGCTGCGAGGAACTTTGAATTAAATGTTTAATACCAATTGCATAAAATGTTAAACATACGAAGATATTCCCATACCGGGAATCGAACCCGAGCCTCCTGGGTGAAAGCCAGGTATCCTAGCCACTAGACCATATGGGATATATGAATACGCTATATATATCTTTTTTTGCTGCGAGGAACTTTTAATAACGTTAATACCAATTGCAAAATATATAAAGTTATTCCCATACCGGGAATCGAACCCGAGCCTCCTGGGTGAAAGCCAGGTATCCTAGCCACTAGACCATATGGGATATATGAACACGCTATATATCTTTTTTTGCTGCGAGGAACTTTTAATTAAATGTTTAATACCAATTGCATAAAATGTTAAATATACGAAGTTATTCCCATACCGGGAGTCGAACCCGAGCCTCCTGGGTGAGAGCCAGGTATCCTAGCCACTAGACCATATGGGATATATGGATGCACTATATATCTTTTTTTGCTGCGAGGAACTTTGAATTAAATGTTTAATACCAATTGCATAAAATGTTAAACATACGAAGATATTCCCATACCGGGAATCGAACCCGAGCCTCCTGGGTGAAAGCCAGGTATCCTAGCCACTAGACCATATGGGATATATGAACACGCTATATATATATATATATCTTTTTTGCTGCGAGGAACTTTGAATTAAATGTTTAATACCAATTGCATAAAATGTTAACATACGAAGTTATTCCCATACCGGGAATCGAACCCGAGCCTCCTGGGTGAAAGCCAGGTATCCTAGCCACTAGACCATATGGGATATATGAACACGCTATATATCTTTTTTTGCTGCGAGGAACTTTTAATTAAATGTTTAATACCAATTGCATAAAATGTTAAATATACGAAGTTATTCCCATACCGGGAATCGAACCCGAGCCTCCTGGGTGAAAGCCAGGTATCCTAGCCACTAGACCATATGGGATATATGAATACGCTATATATATCTTTTTTTGCTGCGAGGAACTTTTAATTAAATGTTTAATACCAATTGCATAAAATGTTAAATATACGAAGTTATTCCCATACCGGGAATCGAACCCGAGCCTCCTGGGTGAAAGCCAGGTATCCTAGCCACTAGACCATATGGGATATATGAACACGCTATATATATCTTTTTTTTGCTGCGAGGAACTTTTAATAACGTTAATACCAATTGCAAAATATATAAAGTTATTCCCATACCGGGAATCGAACCCGAGCCTCCTGGGTGAAAGCCAGGTATCCTAGCCACTAGACCATATGGGATATATGAATACGCTATATATCTTTTTTTGCTGCGAGGAACTTTTAATTAAATGTTTAATACCAATTGCATAAAATGTTAAATATACGAAGTTATTCCCATACCGGGAATCGAACCCGAGCCTCCTGGGTGAGAGCCAGGTATCCTAGCCACTAGACCATATGGGATATATGAATGCACTATATATCTTTTTTTGCTGCGAGGAACTTTTAATTAAATGTTTAATACCAATTGCATAAAATGTTAAATATACGAAGTTATTCCCATACCGGGAATCGAACCCGAGCCTCCTGGGTGAAAGCCAGGTATCCTAGCCACTAGACCATATGGGATATATGAACACGCTATATATATATATATCTTTTTTTGCTGCGAGGAACTTTGAATTAAATGTTTAATACCAATTGCATAAAATGTTAAACATACGAAGATATTCCCATACCGGGAATCGAACCCGAGCCTCCTGGGTGAAAGCCAGGTATCCTAGCCACTAGACCATATGGGATATATGAACACGCTATATATCTTTTTTGCTGCGAGGAACTTTTAATTAAATGTTTAATACCAATTGCATAAAATGTTAAATATACGAAGTTATTCCCATACCGGGAATCGAACCCGAGCCTCCTGGGTGAAAGCCAGGTATCCTAGCCACTAGACCATATGGGATATATAAATACGCTATATATATCTTTTTTTGCTGCGAGGAACTTTTAATTAAATGTTTAATACCAATTGCATAAAATGTTAAATATACGAAGTTATTCCCATACCGGGAATCGAACCCGAGCCTCCTGGGTGAAAGCCAGGTATCCTAGCCACTAGACCATATGGGATATATGAACACGCTATATATATCTTTTTTTGCTGCGAGGAACTTTTAATAACGTTAATACCAATTGCAAAATATATAAAGTTATTCCCATACCGGGAATCGAACCCGAGCCTCCTGGGTGAAAGCCAGGTATCCTAGCCACTAGACCATATGGGATATATGAACACGCTATATATCTTTTTTTGCTGCGAGGAACTTTTAATTAAATGTTTAATACCAATTGCATAAAATGTTAAATATACGAAGTTATTCCCATACCGGGAATCGAACCCGAGCCTCCTGGGTGAGAGCCAGGTATCCTAGCCACTAGACCATATGGGATATATGGATGCACTATATATATCTTTTTTTGCTGCGAGGAACTTTTAATTAAATGTTTAATACCAATTGCATAAAATGTTAAATATACGAAGTTATTCCCATACCGGGAATCGAACCCGAGCCTCCTGGGTGAAAGCCAGGTATCCTAGCCACTAGACCATATGGGATATATGAATACGCTATATATATATATATATATATATATATATATATATATATATATATATATATCTGCTGCGAGGAACTTTGAATTAAATGTTTAATACCAATTGCATAAAATGTTAAACATACGAAGATATTCCCATACCGGGAATCGAACCCGAGCCTCCTGGGTGAAAGCCAGGTATCCTAGCCACTAGACCATATAGGATATATGAACACGCTATATATATATATATATCTTTTTTTGCTGCGAGGAACTTTGAATTAAATGTTTAATACCAATTGCATAAAATGTTAAACATACGAAGATATTCCCATACCGGGAATCGAACCCGAGCCTCCTGGGTGAAAGCCAGGTATCCTAGCCACTAGACCATATGGGATATATGAATACGCTATATATATATCTTTTTTTGCTGCGAGGAACTTTTAATAACGTTAATACCAATTGCAAAATAATATACGAGTTATTCCCATACCGGGAATCGAACCCGAGCCTCCTGGGTGAAAGCCAGGTATCCTAGCCACTAGACCATATGGGATATATGAACACGCTATATATATCTTTTTTGCTGCGAGGAACTTTTAATAAATGTTTAATACCAATTGCATAAAATGTTAAATATACGAATATTCCCATACCGGGAATCGAACCCGAGCCTCCTGGGTGAAAGCCAGGTATCCTAGCCACTAGACCATATGGGATATATGAAACGCTACATATATATATCTTTTTTGCTGCGAGGAACTTTTAATTAAATGTTTAATACCAATTGCATAAAATGTTAAATATACGAAGTTATTCCCATACCGGGAATCGAACCCGAGCCTCCTGGGTGAAAGCCAGGTATCCTAGCCACTAGACCATATGGGATATATGAATACGCTATATATATATCTTTTTTTGCTGCGAGGAACTTTTAATTAAATGTTAATACCAATTGCAAAAATATAAAGTTATTCCCATACCGGGAATCGAACCCGAGCCTCCTGGGTGAAAGCCAGGTATCCTAGCCACTAGACCATATGGGATATATGAACACGCTATATATCTTTTTTTGCTGCGAGGAACTTTTAATTAAATGTTTAATACCAATTGCATAAAATGTTAAATATACGAAGTTATTCCCATACCGGGAATCGAACCCGAGCCTCCTGGGTGAAAGCCAGGTATCCTAGCCACTAGACCATATGGGATATATGAACACGCTATATATATCTTTTTTTGCTGCGAGGAACTTTTAATTAAATGTTTAATACCAATTGCATAAAATGTTAAATATACGAAGTTATTCCCATACCGGGAATCGAACCCGAGCCTCCTGGGTGAAAGCCAGGTATCCTAGCCACTAGACCATATGGGATATATGAACACGCTATATATATTTTTTTGCTGCGAGGAACTTTTAATTAAATGTTTAATACCAATTGCATAAAATGTTAAAATACGAAGTTATTCCCATACCGGGAATCGAACCCGAGCCTCCTGGGTGAAAGCCAGGTATCCTAGCCACTAGACCATATGGGATATATGAACACGCTATATATATCTTTTTTTGCTGCGAGGAACTTTGAATTAAATGTTTAATACCAATTGCATAAAATGTTAAATATACGAAGTTATTCCCATACCGGGAATCGAACCCGAGCCTCCTGGGTGAAAGCCAGGTATCCTAGCCACTAGACCAGGTATCCTAGCCACTAGACCATATGGGATATATGAACACGCATATATATATATATATATATATATATATATATCTTTTTTTGCTGCGAGGAACTTTGAATTAAATGTTTAATACCAATTGCATAAAATGTAAACATACGAAGTTATTCCCATACCGGGAATCGAACCCGAGCCTCCTGGGTGAAAGCCAGGTATCCTAGCCACTAGACCATATGGGATATATGAAACGCTATATATATATATATCTTTTTGCTGCGAGGAACTTTTAACGTTAATACCAATTGCAAAATATATAAAGTTATTCCCATACCGGGAATCGAACCCGAGCCTCCTGGGTGAAAGCCAGGTATCCTAGCCACTAGACCATATGGGATATATGAACACGCTATATATCTTTTTTTGCTGCGAGGAACTTTTAATTAAATGTTTAATACCAATTGCATAAAATGTTAAATATACGAAGTTATTCCCATACCGGGAATCGAACCCGAGCCTCCTGGGTGAGAGCCAGGTATCCTAGCCACTAGACCGATATATGGATGCACTATATATATCTTTTTTTGCTGCGAGGAACTTTGAATTAAATGTTTAATACCAATTGCATAAAATGTTAAACATACGAAGATATTCCCATACCGGGAATCGAACCCGAGCCTCCTGGGTGAAAGCCAGGTATCCTAGCCACTAGACCATATGGGATATATGAACACGCTATATATATATATATATATCTTTTTTTGCTGCGAGGAACTTTGAATTAAATGTTTAATACCAATTGCATAAAATGTTAAACATACGAAGATATTCCCATACCGGGAATCGAACCCGAGCCTCCTGGGTGAAAGCCAGGTATCCTAGCCACTAGACCATATGGGATATATGAATACGCTATATATATATCTTTTTTTGCTGCGAGGAACTTTTAATAATGTTTAATACCAATTGCAAAATATATAAGTTATTCCCATACCGGGAATCGAACCCGAGCCTCCTGGGTGAAAGCCAGGTATCCTAGCCACTAGACCATATGGGATATATGAACACGCTATATATCTTTTTTTGCTGCGAGGAACTTTTAATTAAATGTTTAATACCAATTGCATAAAATGTTAAATATACGAAGTTATTCCCATACCGGGAATCGAACCCGAGCCTCCTGGGTGAGAGCCAGGTATCCTAGCCACTAGACCATATGGGATATATGGATGCACTATATATCTTTTTTTGCTGCGAGGAACTTTTAATTAAATGTTTAATACCAATTGCATAAAATGTTAAATATACGAAGTTATTCCCATACCGGGAATCGAACCCGAGCCTCCTGGGTGAAAGCCAGGTATCCTAGCCACTAGACCATATGGGATATATGAACACGCTATATATATATCTTTTTTTGCTGCGAGGAACTTTGAATTAAATGTTTAATACCAATTGCATAAAATGTTAAACATACGAAGATATTCCCATACCGGGAATCGAACCCGAGCCTCCTGGGTGAAAGCCAGGTATCCTAGCCACTAGACCATATGGGATATATGAACACGCTATATATATCTTTTTTTGCTGCGAGGAACTTTAATTAAATGTTTAATACCAATTGCATAAAATGTTAAAATACGAAGTTATTCCCATACCGGGAATCGAACCCGAGCCTCCTGGGTGAAAGCCAGGTATCCTAGCCACTAGACCATATGGGATATATGAATACGCTATATATATCTTTTTTGCTGCGAGGAACTTTTAATTAAATGTTTAATACCAATTGCATAAAATGTTAAATACGAAGTTATTCCCATACCGGGAATCGAACCCGAGCCTCCTGGGTGAAAGCCAGGTATCCTAGCCACTAGACCATATGGGATATATGAACACGCTATATATATCTTTTTTTGCTGCGAGGAACTTTTAATAAATGTTAATACCAATTGCAAAATATATAAAGTTATTCCCATACCGGAATCGAACCCGAGCCTCCTGGGTGAAAGCCAGGTATCCTAGCCACTAGACCATATGGGATATATGATGCACTATATATATCTTTTTTTGCTGCGAGGAACTTTTAATTAAATGTTTAATACCAATTGCATAAAATGTTAAATATACGAAGTTATTCCCATACCGGGAATCGAACCCGAGCCTCCTGGGTGAAAGCCAGGTATCCTAGCCACTAGACCATATGGGATATATGAATACGCTATATATATATTTTTTGCTGCGAGGAACTTTTAATTAAATGTTTAATACCAATTGCATAAAATGTTAAATATACGAAGTTATTCCCATACCGGAATCGAACCCGAGCCTCCTGGGTGAAAGCCAGGTATCCTAGCCACTAGACCATATGGGATATATGAACACGCTATATATCTTTTTTGCTGCGAGGAACTTTTAATAATGTTAATACCAATTGAAAATATATAAAGTTATTCCCATACCGGGAATCGAACCCGAGCCTCCTGGGTGAAAGCCAGGTATCCTAGCCACTAGACCATATGGGATATATGAATACGCTATATATATCTTTTTTTGCTGCGAGGAACTTTTAATAAATGTTTAATACCAATTGCAAAATATATAAAGTTATTCCCATACCGGGAATCGAACCCGAGCCTCCTGGGTGAAAGCCAGGTATCCTAGCCACTAGACCATATGGGATATATGAACACTATATATCTTTTTTGCTGCGAGGAACTTTTAATTAAATGTTTAATACCAATTGCATAAAATGTTAAATATACGAAGTTATTCCCATACCGGGAATCGAACCCGAGCCTCCTGGGTGAAAGCCAGGTATCCTAGCCACTAGACCATATGGGATATATGGATGCACTATATATCTTTTTTTGCTGCGAGGAACTTTTAATTAAATGTTTAATACCAATTGCATAAAATGTTAAATATACGAAGTTATTCCCATACCGGGAATCGAACCCGAGCCTCCTGGGTGAAAGCCAGGTATCCTAGCCACTAGACCATATGGGATATATGAACACGCTATATATATATCTTTTTTTGCTGCGAGGAACTTTTAATTAAATGTTTAATACCAATTGCATAAAATGTTAAATATACGAAGTTATTCCCATACCGGGAATCGAACCCGAGCCTCCTGGGTGAAAGCCAGGTATCCTAGCCACTAGACCATATGGGATATATGAACACGCTATATATATCTTTTTTGCTGCGAGGAACTTTGAATTAAATGTTTAATACCAATTGCATAAAATGTTAAATATACGAAGTTATTCCCATACCGGGAATCGAACCCGAGCCTCCTGGGTGAAAGCCAGGTATCCTAGCCACTAGACCATATGGGATATATGAATACGCTATATATATCTTTTTTTGCTGCGAGGAACTTTTAATTAAATGTTTAATACCAATTGCATAAAATGTTAAATATACGAAGTTATTCCCATACCGGGAATCGAACCCGAGCCTCCTGGGTGAAAGCCAGGTATCCTAGCCACTAGACCATATGGGATATATGAACACGCTATATATATATCTTTTTTTGCTGCGAGGAACTTTTAATTAAATGTTTAATACCAATTGCATAAAATGTTAAATATACGAAGTTATTCCCATACCGGGAATCGAACCCGAGCCTCCTGGGTGAAAGCCAGGTATCCTAGCCACTAGACCATATGGGATATATGAATACGCTATATATATATCTTTTTTGCTGCGAGGAACTTTTAATTAAATGTTAATACCAATTGCATAAAATGTTAAATATACGAAGTTATTCCCATACCGGGAATCGAACCCGAGCCTCCTGGGTGAAAGCCAGGTATCCTAGACACTAGACCATATGGGACATATGAACACGCTATATATATCTTTTTTTGCTGCGAGGAACTTTTAATTAAATGTTTAATACCAATTGCATAAAATGTTAAATATACGAAGTTATTCCCATACCGGGAATCGAACCCGAGCCTCCTGGGTGAAAGCCAGGTATCCTAGCCACTAGACCATATGGGATATATGAATACGCTATATATATCTTTTTTGCTGCGAGGAACTTTTAATTAAATGTTTAATACCAATTGCATAAAATGTTAAATATACGAAGTTATTCCCATACCGGGAATCGAACCCGAGCCTCCTGGGTGAAAGCCAGGTATCCTAGCCACTAGACCATATGGGATATATGAACACGCTATATATATATCTTTTTTGCTGCGAGGAACTTTTAATTAAATGTTTAATACCAATTGCATAAAATGTTAAATATACGAAGTTATTCCCATACCGGGAATCGAACCCGAGCCTCCTGGGTGAAAGCCAGGTATCCTAGCCACTAGACCATATGGGATATATGAATACGCTATATATATATCTTTTTTGCTGCGAGGAACTTTAATTAAATGTTTAATACCAATTGCATAAAATGTTAAATATACGAAGTTATTCCCATACCGGGAATCGAACCCGAGCCTCCTGGGTGAAAGCCAGGTATCCTAGCCACTAGACCATATGGGATATATAAATACTATATATCTTTTTTTGCTGCGAGGAACTTTTAATTAAATGTTTAATACCAATTGCATAAAATGTTAAATATACGAAGTTATTCCCATACCGGGAATCGAACCCGAGCCTCCTGGGTGAAAGCCAGGTATCCTAGCCACTAGACCATATGGGATATATGAACACGCTATATATCTTTTTTGCTGCGAGGAACTTTAATTAAATGTTTAATACCAATTGCATAAAATGTTAAATATACGAAGTTATTCCCATACCGGGAATCGAACCCGAGCCTCCTGGGTGAAAGCCAGGTATCCTAGCCACTAGACCATATGGGATATATGAATACGCTATATATATCTTTTTTTGCTGCGAGGAACTTTTAATTAAATGTTTAATACCAATTGCATAAAATGTTAAATATACGAAGTTATTCCCATACCGGGAATCGAACCCGAGCCTCCTGGGTGAAAGCCAGGTATCCTAGCCACTAGACCATATGGGATATATGAACACGCTATATATATCTTTTTTTGCTGCGAGGAACTTTTAATAACGTTAATACCAATTGCAAAATATATGAAGTTATTCCCATACCGGGAATCGAACCCGAGCCTCCTGGGTGAAAGCCAGGTATCCTAGCCACTAGACCATATGGGATATATGAATACGCTATATATATCTTTTTTGCTGCGAGGAACTTTTAATTAAATGTTAATACCAATTGCATAAAATGTTAAATATACGAAGTTATTCCCATACCGGGAATCGAACCCGAGCCTCCTGGGTGAAAGCCAGGTATCCTAGCCACTAGACCATATGGGATATATGAACACGCTATATTTTTTTTTTGCTGCGAGGAACTTTTAATTAAATGTTTAATACCAATTGCATAAAATGTTAAATATACGAAGTTATTCCCATACCGGGAATCGAACCCGAGCCTCCTGGGTGAAAGCCAGGTATCCTAGCCACTAGACCATATGGGATATATGAACACGCTATATCTTTTTTTGCTGCGAGGAACTTTTAATTAAATGTTTAATACCAATTGCATAAAATGT